AGCTATTGGCAAATGTTTTGTGGATCAGCAGGAAGGAAGCATGTGTATGGAGAATGATTTGTCCTGGGCCTGCCCTCTTCTTTAGATTCTTATTGAGTATATGGATCTAACCTACAAATTCTCATAGAAAATGGCATTGAAAATAGAAGTGATTAAACAAAGGACATTTTTGTAATATTCTTCTCTCTTACAGACAATCATTAGAAATTTTAAGAACCTACCTTCCTATAACAGAATCTATATTCTTCTCTGTAACAGGAAAGGAAGAATTAGGCCATGAGAAATATGAAGTTATTTCTGATTAGGTGCACTGAGATATTACAGTGACAGTGGTCCATCAGGAGCCCCACTAGATATATCTGCAGAGTTAAAGACTGACAGACTTCTCTTCCAGATTAGTAAACCTCCACATTTGCTAAATATCTGGCCTTATGACAAAATCTAAATCTGTATGGGTGTTACATGCAGAAACATAAAACTCCATGACTTCTCTGCCTCAAAACAAAAAAATTCACTTGTACCTAAAGGCAAAACCCCACTGGCATGCGTTTGAAATTGAGGGCTGAAAATCACCAGTCTTTTGGAAAATGCAATTATGTGCATCGAAAGTGTGTGTGGGTGTAAGAGCTTGAGAGACAGAGCCACATGGCATGGCTATTTGCAAGTCCCCCAAGCTTTTTCCATTCGAATTCCTTTACTTCCCAGAAACTATTCTCCAGAATAAGTGGCACCTCCTCTTGGCATTTCCAATTTGTCACATTAAAAACATAACCAAAATTAACATTTTTTGCCCAATATTCAAAGGATGAGAGTTACATTAGCTTTTTATCCAGGATAGTGTGCTGAATAAAAGCTTTTTGCACTATAGTTTTTTAACTTTATCACATTACACTCCAGTGAAATAATAGAATTCTCTTTCTGAACTCAAGCAATTTATCTATTATGAAGTATTGAGAGTAGATTAATAATTTTTGGGAAAGGGACAGTAATAACCAGTCATTCAGCTTTGTGAACTCTCAAATAGCACAAGCTGCAGAGCACACCCATGCAGTCCTTTGTCAGCTTAACAAAGTTAAGCTAAAGCATACTTTTCAAAAAGGTGTATTCTAATAGGTTGAAGATTTTGAGTGCAAAAAATGCCATACAACCCTTTATAATGTCTTCCATTGACACATTATGGTCTCCTTTCTCTGTTAAAAATTGCTGCAGTGGAATTCCTATTGTGCACATTGTTGTTTCCTGGAAAAAGAATACCTTATTAAAAAATCAAGAAAAATCAAGCTATTTCTCACTTTTGCCTGCAGTTCTTCAAATTCTGCACAATTTTATGACTACTCACTCATAGTGATGACCACATCATAAATATCCAGGGATTGTTTCCAAGGTGCATCCAGCATTTGTACATAGAACATCAGCACAGGCCAAGCTGGCTCTGCTGAGTGAATGGAGCTAACAGGAGCAGCACTAGCAATGGCACAAGCTGTGTCCAGGCTTTCCGATCACTGGGAACACACATCCTGGGGCTCTGTGCCATCCCTCTGCTGGATGCCAGCCCAGACACAAGCCTGTGCCACTTTATTCACCTCTGTTGCAGCACAGACTGCTTGTGTGATGGCAAAGGGGTGTGGGGCCAGGAGAAAAGTCAGTGGTGAGACAGAGGTTCAGAGCACACACAGTGAAGAGCCCTCTTACCGTGGGAGCTTTGCTGGCTGCCTGTACCAGTGTAGCTGAAATAACCAGCACCGCTGACTGGGGGCAGAGCTGGGACGTGACCAGTTTCTTCTCTCCTGTTCCTCTCATCTGCTTGCCTCTGCTTTCTTAGCGTTATTCTGGTGGGGGAAGATCATGGAGTGGTGAATGGGCTCCCTCTTACTGGGCTGTCTGGACTGCTCAAGTGGGCAGTGGGATGCCATGCTGCCCATAAGGCTGGGCTTTGAGCCATGTTAAATATCATGAAAATTGTAGGAGCTCTTGCTCTTGTGTTTAAAACTGATTTTTGCTCTACCCTGATGCCTACTATGAAACATACCTGCCTAACTCTGAACATGCTGCATGCCACAATCACACTTTATTTTTTCTTTCGTGGCAAAATGAGTTAGTGTCATGATTTGAAGAAGAAAGGTCTGTGCCATTTGCACAGGTAGATTTTTATTTCTACATTGAATTGAAGGAAAATTAGGTTCAGTGTGTTAGTTATATTAACTGCTGTGAATGTTAGGAATGTTTGATGGGAATTTGATAATTAAAAGGATTTCAAGGGCCTGATAACAAAACTTCAGCTTCATAATGGAGCCACTTGAGCAGAGTGCTCGCAAATATATGATGAAGTTGAGAGATTAGAACATGGTAGAAATTACTGTACATTAAAACAAAGTAGTCAATAAAAATGCAAACACTCTGAAGTGTTTTAATAGGACTACACTAAATCACCCTCAAACAGCATTCAGTAACACACAGCACAGGAATTCAGGGCTGCTTATCCAAACTCTCCTGTTCCTCACCTGTTCTGTAAGAAGGCTTAGTGTTTGCTGAAAGATTCAGATTTGTCACTCTCTAACTCCTTCTATACATTCTTTTCAATTACTATGAAGGAGCCTTGTATATTTAGGCCTTATTGACATGAAGCTTGACCTGAAGTTATTTGGAATCTTCTGCAAACTATGGAGCTGGATGCATGTTTAAACCCATGGAGGTCATTAAGATTAAAATGCTGAATGGGAGCTACAGAGCTAAATCACTGTGCATTCAGCTAAATGTACATCACCTTCTTGTCAAGGAGTTAAATATGTATTGCATAGATAACCATGGAATTCTTATTTTGGGTGGGAATTTAAACAAAATATTTTGCATTTTGAACAGTTGCCAAACTCTTCTTCAGCTCAAAACAGGGTAAGCTTTTTTGGCTTCGCCTGTAGATTCTTTGATGGCAGGGTTTGGTTTTTTAATTTCTTTTTTTTTTTTTTCTTGCTGCAGGCAAAAATCTAATCAATTTATGATCTTCAACAGCAAGAGTCTATGAATAAAAGTTTCTCCTAATTTCTCTAGTAACGCTGCTAGGTGACAAAATGTACATGTACAAATATTTCCTATTCATTTCTGCTGCACACAGAAGCATTAATTGTCTAATAATGCAGCACAAATATGGACAGCAGTTTTGTCAGAAACATTCTCACCATTTTTTTCTTTCTTTATTTGCTGGGGGCTCTTGTTAGCACCTGGAGGTGAGTTGCTCCAACATATCGAGCACCAGCAGTCGTGCTGAGCAGAGAGATGAGTCAGTCCAGCCCTGAAAGGTTCCTGCAGGGTGACCATACCTGCTCACAGCCACCACTGCTGCTAAGAGCAGAAAATGAGCTACAAAATGCACAGGACAGGTTTTCGTGCCAGCCTGTGAGGGGTTTTGGCACCTGTTTCAGCCTTTAGGGCAGTATTTTTCAAACTAATAGCTAAAAAGTAATCTACAAAGGACTGAAGCACCTTAAATGCTTCACCCCCACTCTCATTCCCATGCTTTCCAGAAGGAGGCAAACGCTAAGTTGGAAAAACCAGAAGTAACCAACATACCTTCAGTGTTTTGGCTGTTAAATGATCAACAGTGTTGCTGTAAAAGATGAACACTGGGGTTTTTCCAGACTTCTTTTCCTTTAGAAGTAACAAATGGTCTTTGGAATTTAAAGAAGTTTAAAGATTAAATCATATCCTCTGTGAAGCGTATCTCTAGAGCAAGAATTTGTCAACCTGTTTTGACTAAATGTTTTTGAAATATCTCAAAAGTAAAATCCACTGCCCCTCGGCAGTTTCTGATGGCCCCTGGTGCACTGATCACATTACTGTATTTCAGGTGAAGCTGCAGCCCATTCAGTCTGATGTTGCAGGGTCAGTCATACCTTCTGAAGACTTACCACAGCTCCTCTTTTGCTGATGTAGCTTTTCAACATCATATTTGTCATAATCAATGAAACACTAATTTTTATCTCCATCAGCTTTCCCAAGCGGCCAAAATCTCCCTGCTTCCATTTTGAGTGGTTCTTCAGGTTGCTCATAATTCAAGTATTTGTACTTTCAGCACTTACAGCATTCAGAGCTTCTGTTGTAATGGGAATGAGTCATGTATCTCAAAATCTCTTTTCTGGGACTGTAGCCAAACAAGATCTTTATTTTTCTTCTTGCCTTCTTTTCTTTTTTTTTTTTTTTTTTTTTTTTCCCTGTGCCTCTGTGAAAAAGACATGTCACTATCTGTAAGGGAAATACCTTAAGCTTGAAACTTTGCCCTCAGGTGTAGCTGTTCCACTGTTAAAAAGTCTTGTGTTTTTAAATGTTTAAATAATAGATTAACTGATGGCCTGCATGTTTCTTAGAGACAGAATGAAAAATTTGGGTGATTTAAGGTGATACTGAAAGATACAGAGGCTGAAATGCCTCTCAAATACAGAGGATGACGACAGAGAAGCAGGGGCAGGTAAGGACAGTGCTTCATCATAACAGAGCAGAGCACTTCACTTGCATGCTGTTGAAAGACACTGACTGAAAAAAAAGAGGAAATTCCAATTTTGTTTTGGAATAGTATGTCTGAAACCCAGAATTATTCTTTATCTCATATTGCGAACAAATATAATGGTTAATCCCCTGCAGCCATGATAATAAAGGCTCTGAAAAATATCAGTTACTCAGAAGAGACAATCTGAGGAAGTGAAAGGCAGAAGATTAATCAGGATTGCTATGCAAAAAAAATTTCACACTTAATAGTCCTGATATTTTCAATACAAGTTCTTATGTCCGTCATCATGTTATAATGGGAAGCCATGTGAAAGGGGAATTTTCAGGTTTGCAAATAACAAGTAGGTCTTCCCCCCATTGTTTAATAATAAAGGTGAGGTTTTTTTTCTACTTGTTTCTCTGTTTATGTTGTGTAGCTAATGGTGCATTTGAAAGGAAGATGATGAGCCAAGCTTTCAACCCTCTAAGAACATGTTTATTTGTTAATAACATTCAGACTTTATTTGACAGTACATAGAGAATGGTACAGATAGAAATCATGCTGGGCAAATTAATGTATTTCCATTATGAACTGAGGAGATCTAGGCTGGAAACATGTCTTATTTCTGGAGGGTCCAGACTTTTTGAAGGCAATCAGAACTCTATCTGAACTCCAACACAAGAAAGCTTGAAGTATTAGCTGAGAGGGACATTTACTAACATTGACATATAGATGTGAATTTTTTCTTCAGTTCTCACACTACAGTTAAAATTTGGAAAGGATCTATTTTAGGTTATTCTTGTCAACATGATGTTATTAAAAACATGAATCTCTGAGAAAATTTTGGAAGAATTATCCATTATACTTGGTAATTTGCCAGATAAGGAGCTGTGTGTTTCAGTATTTGAATTAAGTTCAACTTGTGTTGAACTTAAAACACTTAAAAAATATTAACACTTCCAATTGTTAATATATCCCATACTTACACAAGATAGACTGCAAGTAAAAATAAAATTGGCATGATAAAGCAATTTTGTAATTATGGAAAACTGCTACAGATACTGTTTTATTGAAATTTGTCACTTCACTGTGAGGCTTCACTTCTATTAAGCTTTGTCCATCCATGCTGTAGTTTCAAATAATCTCTAGCAATGATAGATCTCAGCTGAGGAAGGATTGAGATCCAGAAGTTCTCTGCAGCAATGCGGTGTGGTGATAAACAGTTGTAACAAATGTGAAAGAGCTGCTCAGGAAAGCAGCACTTTGCAGATAATGGTTTTAATTCAGACACATGCAGCTAATAGTAAATGGGCATCAGTTTCAGACTGCCAATGAGTCAGGCTGAGAGATTCAGCTTGAGCATGGGTCATAGTCCTGCTGCATGGCAGAGGTACATGAACCAGAAAAATGCCAGTGGCTTAAAGGCAAAATTCAAACTAGTCCAGTATCTAAGGAGATGGGATCTAATTGCATACAGAGAGATGTCAGCTAGGGAAACAATTAGTTGACTGTTGTTAGCTCCACTCCTTTTCCAAAGCTGAGGTGTCTCCTTCGGAAATGTGGGGCAAATGTCAACAGAAAAACCCATCACCATAATATCCCAGCCTAGCAACACAGTATATTTTCCCCAAGTTTGTTTCACAGAAATGGCTGAAGTAGCTTCCCTGGGAAGTAAATAAAAAACTGATGAAGTGTAATTTGAATTTTATTGTCTACCTTGAAAGGAAAATGGAACAACATGTGATGGGTATGCATTTTTTACTCTAATCATACTGGAAGATGCTTTGCTCTGATGTTGATATGAGTAGGGAAAAAGCGTGATTTTTTTTTCTTTTAGTAGAAAGTATGCCTATTTTTGCCTCTTTTTCCTTTAAGTTCTGGTTGCCAGCTCCAAAAATTCAAGCAGGGAATCAGAATGGGGCTCAGTCCATCCTCACAAGTACAAGGTTGTGCTATTCATGTTGTCTCCTTGTTACACAGGGGCAAGTCTTGCTCTCAATTATGAGAAAAGTGTTCCACTGAAAATGTAATGTCAAACTACTATGAGTAATCAGATTAATCGGTGCTGGAGGCACTCAGTGGCAAGTCAAAGGAAAGGAAGCAGTTTACATGGAGAGGCTTTTCATGAAAGCGCACGCATTCCTTTTTATCTGCATGTTTATGCATGGAGTCATGTATTTGTAATGCCATGCCACATGTAGGAAAAATTATCCATTCTGGTAGCTGTAACTAACCCAGAGCAAGAAGGATGGAAGTGGAGGAATGGAAGAAAGAATGTCTTCTGCTTCCCAGACAAAGTTGCCCTTAAAGCAGGTAACTGATGTGCCACACATATATCTTAACCAGCAATGACTTACTCCTTCATCCTCTCTTGACTTGAGAAAAGATATAATTAGATCAATTCTTAATATATTACACCTGATTATATTGTTGCTTTCTCATGTTGGACTCTCCCAGAACAGCACCACCAGCTATAGATCTTGAAGGAAATCAACCTCAGGAAACTTCCAAAAATATGAATTGCTCAGGTTCCTACTGAAATCACTCTCTGAATAAATGAAGTGTTCATATGTTGGGAAAAGCAATTTTGGTAAAACTGATGTTGTAAAGGTGTGTGACTTCAAGCTAACTGAATGAAAAAGTTTATGTGAAAATACAGGCCTAGGATAGACTCGCGTGTTTTGACAGACTTCAATTTAACTCTAAAGTTAGCAAGCACCTCTGTGTTGTACTTTACTGAAAGGATAAACCTATGATCTTCTGCTCAGGTTGTACCAAATTGTTCACCTCAATTTGAAAAGATAAAAATGTAACATTTGTTTTTATACCCCATGTGGAACGTGGTTTAAGGCACTGATGAATGCAAGGTTACCATTCTCGAAAAATCCACAATCACTTAAAACTTTCAGTGTTGTGTGTTCAAAAGACACATAATAGCTGTTATTTGAGAAAATGCTAGAATTTCAGGCACAGATTTCCTAAATTCATGTTATCCTGAAAGTACTGACAGGGAGAATTCATATACTGAGTTGGTAGGTAATAATAACCAGAAAGAGAGCTCCTCCCAGGTGGAGTAGGCTCAAATTACATCACTAGAAATGAGGGGAAGGATATGGGTCTTGCATTTAAACTCAGCAAACTATCTCATAAAATGTGAGCACCCAAGATACAGAAACTGACTCCCTCTGACAACACAATTTACAATATGAATGGAATTCATAACAACATTTGCAGTTTTACTGCATTCAAATATACCTGCTGTCCTGAAACACTGAGTATTGCTGTGAATTTATCATCTGATTGCAGAGGTTCATCTCTAACTCATACAAAACTGAGAACTAAATGTTTTAAATAATTCAAATCCTTCAAACAATCTTCTCTTTCATATTTTATCTTTGCATTCCCACAGAAGACTGACAGATTTTTATTATTGTGGAGTGTGCAAGAAAAAAAGTGTGTGTGTGTGTGTGTGTGTGTGTGTGTGCGTGTGTGCGCATATGCAGTAGTATATGAAAACTTGTAGTGGTATCAGGAGAATAGAGCCCCAAAACTGATTGAGCCTAAATTGAGCCTAAACTCTGTGCTCCAAAAGTACTGAATTGTTGGTTCTGAAAGACTCCTGAGAAGATGAGCCACCACCCCAGAGCTGTGCCTCATTTGAATGTTTCTCTTGAGGTTTGATCTACAGTTAGGGTGGGAGATGGGGATGAAGAGGGGAGACTGGCAACCACTCAAAACAGCTGTCTGATTGATGGGATGTTAATGCCTTTCAGGCTATGGCAAGTATGGAACAATTTGATTTCAAAAGTAGAATATTCTGATGAAATAGATAATTACCCTGCCCCACAGAGAGCTTTCAAAATGGTTCTGAAAATAAGCACCAAATACTTTTAGTTAGTTAGTGAGCCATCAGTTTTCAATCTTACTTTAGGACTTTTCCTATCATGTCTGTCTGATGACTGGACTAAGTGATGACTAACTCAGGAGTAACTCACTGATTTTGATACCTGTCTGTTTTAATCCTCACTTAGGGCTCAGATGGATGGTTTAGTTCAGCATAACAGACTGCCCTGCTTCATGAATGCCCTGTTTACACTTTTGGTCAACAGGAATCAAAAATGCCACAAAATCAATTTTACCATCTTTTGTCACCACATTTCTCTCTGCCAGGTTCTTTTAAAATCTGAATGTAAGTCAAGAGTCCAAGAGCTAGATCCCATACAGTATTTAGCCAATGCATGCTAGTAGAGATTTTTTTTTTTAGTGTTCAGCTCACAAGGTAGTGTCCAGAGACTTAAATTTTTGTTCTCTCTGCAGTTCATGAGGGAAGTCAACTACTACTACTGAACTTCTGAAAAGCAGCTGTGTTGAAGATGGAACAGTCTGTGCTAGACTGGCACTTCTGTTTCCTTGTAATAGTCATTCAGATACTTACCAAACAAAAGCATCTTGGATGCTTTACCTCTTTCTCATTACCATAGAAAGTCATAATACAATGCCAGCTTCTTACAAGATGAATTGGATGGCCAGATTGATAGTGCATTAGCAAAATAAAAAATCAAACCCATCACATGCAGAGAACAGATGTAATTTCTAGGTAAAATGTTCAAAATGTTCAAAATGTATGTAGGAAGCTGGGACTTAACCTTTGAGCTTCTGTCTAGGGGAAACAACAGAAAAATAATCTCTTGTACCTTTATCAGACCTCCCTTACCACCTCAAGTGAAGACCGCCTTTAACAGAGTGGGTGCACATGCAGGACTCCAGTTCTATGTGAAAATTCCTGATCTACAGCAAGGATTCAGATGCATAAAGTGGCTGTTCAAACTTAAACAAAATCACAGAGCACATATGACTAAAAGGACAAACAAACCATAGCTCATTTTTCTCTGCTGAGACAATGCTATTAGCTGAATTAATCTTGAATTGTTGTAATATGAAGTGAGGAACAAACAAGTACAGACCATCCCAATGTATGTAAGGAAGTAAACTGTAAAGTACAACCAAGCAAAATCTACTCCTGGTATGGTCAAATTTCTTCTTTGATAATAGGTTCCTAACCTTCTATTGAGCATACCCAGAAAAATATGTCTATAATTTACCATAAACTTAATGCAAGTTCTGGAAACACCCTTGTGTCAGTGTGCTTGGGTAAATGCTGACTACTCACAACCCTATGCACATTCTTTAATGCATGAGAAACAAAGGAACACAGACAAACATTTAACGCTCACTTACTCATGGAAATGAGGGAGATTCTGTTTTCCTTTTTTAATCAATATATAAAAGAAAGCAGACACCTTATCACCTCTGATTCTGTAGAGAACAATAAATGGAAAAAGATTTCAAGTAAACAGACATCAGTTGTTGGTGTGAGTCATCCTGATGAATAATGGTGATAATGAGAATGGTATATTGGGTATCTAACATGAAATCTCTATTTCTGAAATAGTTTGTTATTGTGATTTATAAATTTTTTATCTTCTCTTTATTTATGTGAAGCATACAATGGCATACAATCACAAAATCCTTTGTGTATCTGTTATAGAAAAGGTGTACAAAAGACAAAAATTTAGATAAAATGCAGTACTTGAAAATAATCCTGATACAGAACCATCTTAAGCAGTTGCAGACTTACCCCGGTTTTTATGGGCTTGGAACACATGCAGTATAGAGTTCTATTAAAAAATGCTTTTTTTCCCATTTAAAAATTGAATGGAAAAAACATTTTGCAAAATGTCTTTGTGCTGGAGTAGTAAATAAGAGGATTTCCTAACTGATAAAATAGGTTTCTTTCTCTTCTGAAAACCCTATTTTTGCTATGAAAATGAATATCTGACAAAAATAGTAGTGGAAGACAATATCAGAAATTAATTCTGCTACCTATCATGTAGTTCAGTCTACTCTAGACTGTTCTGGTACAGGCAGTTTAGACAGACAGAGACAAAGACAGGACTGTAGATGCCCAAATGCAAATATGCACTACATTCTTTTCTCTTCCCCTTCCTCTTTCTCTTCCTCCTCATGTGCCAAGTTGGTAATATCTCTCCAGACCTGTTCAGGAGTAAAAGGAAAACATAACTGCTGTTAAAAACTAAATTGGTTCAAATATCACTGGTTATTTAGTTATGTCTTTCGGCTTAAGTGGTCACCAGTCAAATAAGTTTCTTTTTTCTTTCTCAAGGCAAGATTACAGTCTCCAAAAGAATTCATGGGGGGCATTAAAATCCTTCTGGCTTGAGAGATTATCATCTCAGAAGAGATTGTGACTAGTCAATAATAAAAAAGGTTGGACATAGAGAGGTGATTTATTTTATCTGTTATTTACAGGAGAAAAAGGAAGAAGTTAAAGTTGTTTAGGGAAGAGTTTATCTTTTTTTTTAACTAAGGATTGTTATAGTAAAATTCTTGCAGCATAAAATAGAAAACATCAGTGGTTGTTAGTTGTCACAATACAAATTTATACACAAGAGAAATAGGGAAAAAAGAAATTGGTTAATAACCGTATCCCTTTGAAATTCTCCTGACCCTAAGATAATGATGTGTAAAATAATTTGTTGCTGTAGTAAATGTCAGTTTGGTACTGGTAAGCATTTAATCAGCTTTCTGCTTGGTACATTTAATATGACTTCAGTGTTTTACTTGAAAAAGTAACACATCACCTGATGAAGTGACTGATGATGAATTCAGGAGAGCACAAGTGCCAGTCACAAAGAATCAGGTCTGTTTAGTGCCCACATTACCTCAGCTCCTATGAATAATTCTCTGTCTTGCAGAATCTGTTAGGTAAAGCCATTAACTATCCTCAGCAGCTATGGATAACTTCCAGCAAACCACAGAAACCCAGAAACACAGGTAGTATACTTTGATATGTCCAGTCTAATGTAGAACTTTCTCATATTTTCTAGTCTAAATCATTTATGGAAGCAAAATAAGTTGTCTCTCAATTCTAAATCAGAAATGTGTGTCTTACTGTCTCACTTTCTGTTTCCTAATTTCAGATTGGATAATTCACCAGTCATGCCTGGACATCTCTCTCCAGATCATCAGAGGACATGGAACATGCTGGAAGAAGAGTGGCTCTCTCCATGGTCAAAGGGGCACAAGCTCAAACAGACCCAATATGTGCTCCCCTGTTTTAGAGGTGGATTAGCCAGGACAGTGATGATGTGACCCAAGGTCACAGTAGAAAGTGGTGCTGGAGTCAGCAGCACAGTGAAATTTCCTGGCTGTCATCTCTGTGCTGTCCTCTCACATCACCAATTGCTCAGGTCATCCAGACCTGCAACCTGGCAGTGTCCCTTGCACTAAATAAATAAGATAAAAGCAAAACTGTGGCAGTGGCAAAGCCAAAGACTCCAAAGTGATGAAATGCCACAACTAAGGTGGCCTTTGCCAGCAGAATTAGATATCTTATGTGCACATAGGTGTGCTACCCACCCATCTATCCACAAATCTATACACACATATGTATGCTTATATCTATGCTGTAGTTCTGTCTTCAATTACAATGTAACATACAATTTTTGACAGAATTCCCTAATTATAGAATTATTACAAATCCATATGGTGGAGACAGAAAGTTACTCATCCCTGTGGCCTCATGTCTACTTTGCAGGGGTCACTTCAGTGCTAGAAGGTTATCTACTGCTACCTTGATTCAAAGACACTTAATTACTCTTAACAGGGTGTAAAGGAGATGGTTGAATTCAGTTATTTTCTTTTTTTAAAGACATCAATCTCTAACTGCATTGTCGTAGATACAGCTGGGGAGTTTGAGAAATGTACTAGTGAAATTGATTACTCAGACATGTGTGATTATGATTCATCTGGGAGCTTGGAAAAGAAAGATGCGCAAATTCTTCCTCAGCCCCATCAATTCTTCCTTTATTGCTTTATTTGAAACAAAGCTTGGACAACACAAAAAACAATTTTATTTTATGATAGCCATAGGAAGAATGAAAGATTTTTTATACCTACCCATGGCAGAACTACAGGCTAAAGATCAGTTTGAAACAATGGTTTTCCTCACTTCATTTGCTAACCATTTCAAAGGCGTTACATTCTCATTTCTTTCAGGCAATCATAGATTCTGGGGCTGGAAAATTTGTTCTCCTACTAAAGCAACAGGCCAGATACTCTTGAAATCTTTTGTCTGGCAGCATCTAATTATCAAGTACTCCAAGGAAAGTTAAAAAGGAGATTGTGCAATTGATAATTCACCCTTGAGGGTTTCAGATTTTTCTCTGGCTTGTGGGATGGCACATCAAGGCAGCAATACTGCCAAAGCAGTAGTGTTTTGTTTCCTCCTTAGAAGGAGTTCTGGATGTTTCCATGATGAATAAACACATCAATTTCTCTTTAAAATACTATACTAATACTCTTAAAACATTCTAAATGCCTTCTTAGGTGTTGTCATAGCCGACAAATGAAAAGTATATCTGGGCTATCCAGCCTTGTAAATAGTTTTCTCCACCCCTTCTCCCCAGGCCTTAGGTCTTTTCTGACTCAGACTCCAGCTGCGTGCATTCCCTCATGCTGGCATGACCTGGACATGACTACATGAAGTTCTTGTTCCTAGTTTGTAGCTTTTACCTGTTAACTGTGGGGTCCTCTGCATGCCTGACAGCAGGTCCCATTCCAAAGTGTCAGTGCCTCTAGGGAGGGGTAGTGAATAATGCAATGAGTAGGCAGTCTGCTTAAAGTTGTTTGTTGGTGTTTGGGGTTTTTTTTTTTGGGGTTTTTTTTTTTTGTTTGTTTGTTTGTTTGTTTCAGGACAAAATCACTGCTGGTAAAAAATACCTGTTTAATACCAAAATATGTCACTCCCCTTTTTAAGGTGCCTGTCCACCCTCTGCATGGGACTTTGGAAAGACCAGCATCCTCTGTGTGTTCCCACAGGGCCTCCCTCTACCAGCTTGTCTCCTTGTTGCAGCCTTTGATCTGTCCTGGACATTCCTAAGACATTCAGCACCGTTTAATGGGGATTAAGATGTTTTTAATTGTTTATAATTGCTTTGACCTTCTGCCTCAGCTGAGATCTTGGAATTGTGCCATTGCACTTCAAGCAGGAGTGGTGGCTTAGGGCAAAGCAGTTTGTAGAAAGAAGTAATTTTTTTATTGGCCCAACTACTATGGATGAAGAAAATAGTTATCTTGCAGGATTACAAAGCCTTGTGCAGGTCTGAAATGAAAACTGCAACCTTCAAGAATAAAGGCATATAGAGAGCAATTACTCCAAACTTAATTTATTTATGTTAACAAGTTAGATTACCAGAAATTAAAGGCAGCTGGTGGCTGTGAAATGGAGACATTGTCTTAGCAGAGGGAAGGGTGATAAATTGTTAGCTCAAAAATTTTCATCTATTTCATGAGGTTGTTTCAGGAGCAGAGTAGCCTTATAGAGGTCATGACCATCAGTAAACATTTGGCTAAGGATCACCATGCCAACTACACTGTAGGATTTATGCCTCAGAATGCTAGAAAAATCTGGAAAATGATTTCCATTATCTAACCACACCAAAATTATAAAGTAAAACAAGAAGCAGACTAAAATGAAGTGCTTGTGAATTTTCCCTAGCCATTTTGCAAGACTCCAAAATGTTATAAAAGTAGTGATGACAGGTACTGATCACAAGAACCAGCACAACAGCAGCTGCCCCAGTCTCTACCTGGTAAAGAAACATTCAAACATCTTCAGTCAATGAAAAATCTACTAACCAAAGGTGAACTGTCTGCTCTGAAAGCCAAAATGTCTCCTTAGAGGAACAATAAAATGCTGATTTATGGGGAATTAGAATTATTTTGTTGACTTTTTCCTCATGCTTTTGTAACAAGACAGAAATTAAGTCTAGTACCCATCCTCATATGCCAATTTCAAGAAGAAGACAAGGAAACATATTGAGTCTGAAGTCTCAAGACAAAATCCCACCCCTGACTGCTCTATCAACTACATATGGAAAAAAGCCAGAAAAGAAATAACAAGCCAGCTATCATTACAGTTTTTTCCTGTCTCAGAAAAAAAGTCTGTCCTAAATCACAAGTAGTGCAAACATGCAATTAGATAACACTATGACTAATAAAGTCAAGGAGACTGTGCAGAAAATAACATTTTCTCTCCAGTGGACCAGTTAATGACCATAACTTCCAACCCTCCATTGTACTGTCATGTCCACCAGGAACACTCCCAGCCTGCCCACCATGTTCCACTCCTTGATAGCATCCTGCTTTGTCCTCAGTATGCCCCCAAGATAGATATCTAACTTTCAGTTCTCCAGCCCATGTGAAACAAATGTCAACTAGTCCATCCTCACCCATGCAGCTTCAATTTTCTTCAAAAACCAGGCACAGTATAAGCATAAAAATAATTTTATTACATTTTGACTTTATCATGATCTACCAAAAAAAAAAAAAAAGAAAAAGGGAAAATGTAAAGGAAAAAAAAAAAGAAATCCAAATCTTTTTACAACTAAGGTTGTGCTCTATCTCATATATGAAAGCTTTATTATGTGTACTATAAACATGGAACTCATAATTGATTTTTATTTAATTCAATAACAATTGGCCCTCTATCAATATAACTTGAATATAACTCTACTGAAATCACCTTAGATAATGATCAGTACCAAACTGCAATTTACCAGTTGTGGTAAGACACTCATGGATAAATATGCTTGTCTGAAGAAAATCAGCCACTGCTCAGCTTTTCAAACCTTACCTCATTTGCTGCAAAAAGATCACTCATGGAGATCACCTTAATTATTTAGAAGTCTTCCTGGACAGGAATACTCCTTGGGCAGGTGGTTGGCATCTGTGAGTTAAAAGAACTGAAAATAGTGTCAAGCACTATTGTTACCAGCATAATTTGGGACATATATAGTCAACAACATCTTAAGTCAAAATAAATGGCAGAAGCAGAACTCCTTCCTTTCATGTAGCTGCAACCTCACTAACTTCAGCCTCAGGAACAAATACTCAGCAGGTATACCACTGTATTTGAAGAGCAAACACTGAGTTTGACAAGACATCTCACAACCAATATCATCCTTGTATCCCTTACAGGGCATTTCTGCAGCCCATCCACTGTGCTACATTCCAGTCCAGACACAATAGCCAAGACTAAACAATCATGATGCACCAGGATGAGCTCATGGGATCAAGGAAGGAAAGAAACTTCCACCTTCCAGTGGGGGATATTGCTCTCAGTGCAAACAGACCATCCCTGAGATTTTTGGTATTATCCACAGAGGCACAATGAAACATCAAAACAGGAAAACAGGTCCTAGAAATCATCTCTCTTATTAGTACTAAGAGATTAAAATCTTTTGAAACTTGTTTTCATTTAACACATTCCACTCCAACACAATCACTTTAATTTTGATGAGGGAAAAATATATTTTTCACTTTTGTCCAGAGTATTGAATAAGCTTTTTGTCTCTGCAGGTTCTAACCACATTTTTTTTTTCAGACAGCCTGATGAATTAATTTCATCTTCCACTGCTGCTCTTTCTATTTCAGACCAAAAGGGGGGCTGTCCAACCACTAGTGTGACTAGTCCAACCACTTCTTAGGTGATTCCAGCTTTAACACACTAGTCTAATGAAACATTTCCCTTTTACCCACCAACTCTGATATAGTTCTGCTCTTAGACCATCATGGCTATACTACTTCTGCAATACTCACACACAAAAACATTGTTATATCTCCGTATCCATGATATTCTTACATTTCAGCTCCATGGCTGTCATGCAGACTGGACTCCTAAACTGAATTATTTACTGCTGGATTTCTGTGCTTCTGTGATCCCTGCCTGTATTATTTGGGTCTAGCATGCATAGAAATGTAAATGTTTCATAGGCAGGCCTTTGCCTGGGGTGGTGCTCCACAGTTCTCAGGCCACAGTGTGGCTCTGCCAGCTGACAGTGGCACCTGGTTTCAGGCTGGGAATCTCTGCCCCCAGAGCAGCCTGTGAAGCCAAACTCACCCAGTGCCTTCTGGAACCAGCAGCTGTCAGAAACACGTTCATTGCAGAAGCAGTAGGAACATAATCCCATCCAACCTCTATTTAGCGTTCTCCCAAGTAACAAGCACTGCGCACGCATGGAGCTGGTAAAACTGTTATTATCTCGGAAAGGGGAGAACCAAGGCATAATGCAGCCAGAACCTTAAAAAAAATAAAAAGAGCATGAAATTTTTACCCAAATAGCTTGGTTTTCAGAGATAATAGTCATTCACACCTCCCACAGAATTTGTTTTTTAGATGCAGAAGTCAGAATGAGCTGCAGGTGCTCAACACCTCTGAAGATCAAGCCAGTCCTCATGGCTGACTAATTGGAAGGGGGAGGTGGGGTGTTTGAGGTGGGGTGGTAGGTTGCATCTTGCTGAGGCTCATGATTTTCCCAATGTGGGCCAGGTACACATGACATTTCAGGAACAGTCTGTTGAATGTATTGCTTCTCATCCCAGAGTTAATTTGTAGGATCACATTGCCTCTCAAAGCAAGATTTTATTTTCCTAGAGTTCTGAATGAAACCCAGTTAAATCAGTTAGCATACTGTTCTCTGCACACACAAGAGAGCTGAACATCCTTAATCTTTTCTAATTACATGAAACCAGCATTCAGGAACTAGAGAGCCACATGGTCCATGCAAAACTGATTAGAGAGGGCACACATCTTGCCAGGGAAACAGCAGCCTGACTTAGTGCAGGCTCATGACTCCCTATGACTCGTGTCCAATTTCCTGGGGGCACTCACCCTTACCCCCTTCTTCTGTGAGCGAGTGGTACCAACATTACATTACAGAGAAGGAGAATGCTTACATTGTTGAACAGCAAATAGCCAAGAAAACCCTGAGATGGGTCTGTATCTCTTACTTCTGCTGCCTGGCCATGAGGGATATTCATCAGACAGCCTGGTCCTAGGAGCAAGCAAGGCAAGTGTGGGGCTTTTTCCAGTGGTATTTTCCAGTTTGTCACTTGGATCCAACCAAGTTTTGTGGTTTGGAGTGTGTAAAGCAAATTTGATGTGCTGTGTTTAGCTTTTGATGGATTTGTTTTTTGTTTTGTTAATTTGACTGTCAAGGTTTTCAATAGCATCAACAGCAGTAATTTAGCTTCTGTACCTGTTGTGGGTGGCTTATGTAATGTTAAATTCTTTCTTGCCTGCAAAGCATCCAACTGCCAAGACCACAAGCATTATATAAATTAAATAACTAAATGAGAGGCTTTTCAGGGACTCAAAGAAAATTCAGGGCTTTAGTATTGCTCAGAAAAAAAAAGCAGAATGACAGGTATAAAACTATTAGGATACGATTTCCTTTCAAAGCAAATTCCATGCAAATACTACCTCCTTCTAGAAGTGTGTAGGTGCCTTCACCAAGGTCACGGTGCTTTGTTGCTAAGCTTCATGTATATGAGAAGAAAAAGAGAACAACTCCTTAAAAAAGCTGTCTCCACTCTAGGAGACATTCTCACCTCTGCTGTACACAGAGAAATCGAATTATTTGTCCAGCAATAGGAACCACCAGGGCTTGCCCTCTTCCTCCTGTGTCATTGTGTCTGCTTTTACTTCCATGTGCTTGTCCTTCCCATGCATAAAATCTCCTTCCTTTACACAGAGGACTAAACAGAAGTCAAACCTGAGCCCTTTTTCACTGCAGGACTGCAAGTAGTTTTGAGTTTTTCTGAAGATTTGAATTTTGAAACAAAAATTACGGCACTGCACATTTGGCATTGCTGCCACATTAAAAGGATGCAGGATCAATGAAATTCATGGCAATTCCAGTTCTGTGCTCTCTGAGGGCTTGTAAACTAACTGTAGTTTTTTCAACACTGCCATAGTCCTCTGTCCTGTTCTGCTGGCCACGCAAGGATATCCAACATGTTTTAGCTGATGGCACTGTTCCTTAACAGATCTTTGCATGCTGGGACACGGTAGGATTTGGAGTGAGAAATGAAATGGCAAACAAATCCCACTGTTCCCAGATGGCCTGGCTGAAGATTGTCATCTCCATCTTGTCAAATCTCATTTATTTACATTAATGTACAGAAAATATATATCTAAGATTTTCACATTTATGGAAATAAGGGAAATTTAGTATTTGGAAAAATTACACCACCCTTTATTAAATACATGACAGATCCAGTAGTAACTGTAACAGCAGAGATGGGGTGAATTATCTCACTAGAAATGAAGAGATAATTCAGTAAAAGCGCACATGTAGTAGAGAAGAAACCCATCAATAAAAGGCAGCCAGATATAAAACTTGATGCCCTGATTGCACTCTGTATGGACCTCAGCTATTAACCATGCTATAGAACAGGAACAATAATTTTCTGCAAAATTATAAATCAGTTTTGTGCCATCAGATGAAATATTATGTGATATTCTGAATTAGTCTTTAAAGTGACCGCTCTCAGATATGCTCATATCAGGGGTAATAGAGGAGCTCTGTGTGAGATGATACACATTCAAGGAAAATAAGTGATAATGACAATGATAGCTTCAATAAACCTATGATAAATCATACACAGATATATGCCAGTCTAGATGTAGCTTGACAGTGAAATCAGCCATTGTGCACGATGTGAAGAACATAAAAAATTATCCAAAAAATTACTACCTTTACAAGGTGCTGGCAAATAAGAGGAGAAGAAGTATGAACACAGCATATCTGTCACATAGATCACCAATTATTGCTGTATCTTTGAATGGAGTGTTTGGAAATGCAACTGTAGCTTGCAAGGGAATTGAGCACAGAAAAGAAGTTCTTCATTTCTTTCTTGATTTAAGCAGTGTCAGGAGCAGTGTTGAAACACAAACACATCACTGAGGGGGGAGGAAATCCAATTTCTCCCTCCAGTTTGCTCAAGGAGTCAGGTATGGGGTTTGTGTCACTGAGCATTGAAGTGGTGAGAATAAGGCAGCATCTTGTTTCAATTCATCTTCCCAGAGTGGCACTTCTCAAACACTTTGGAAGTGTAATCCACTTTTGGCTCGTGCCTGTTCGCCCTTTTTGCTGGCAGCTGCTCATCTCCAAGGCAAGGTGGTGGGAATTGGCTGGAATTACTGGCTGCTAGCACTGCCACCCATTTGCTCACTCTGGTTAAGCTGAGCTGCTGCTGGCACTTAGAGATAGTTAGCAGCTATCCAGCTAGTTGAAACACTTGCAGCCCAGAAATAAAAAAATCTGTTCATGCTAAGAATGGAACTGCAACCAGCTTAGGAGGAAACTGTATTGCCACAGATATATCTCATCTAGCACTTCTCAGCTATTTCAGCCTGTATGTGGTTCCTCATCCAGGGCAGTTCTGGAACTGAGGTGTAGCCATGCTGTTACTGACCTGCAAGAGACTTCCTGGATCATTTGCTCTCATGGTGAACTATTTTGTCCCTTTCATGCACTTGAGAAGCCATATGTAGAAACAGAAGTAGTTCTCCTATCACTGGAATGTTTCTCCAGTACCTTTGCCATTAGAATCCTATTGTTGAGTTCCAGTGATTTGTTCTTGTGCCAATCCTCAAAAGTTATTTTTTAATTTTTTGTGCGTGTTTATTTTAGAGTTTTTTTTCATTCCTGCAGGGCCCCTGTTTCCTCTACCATACTTACTCATAAACACCAGTTACATTTTTCTACCATAAGTAAATTAAGTCTTCCTGTCATATAATTCTGATTTGCCATACTCCTGAACATAGTAGCAGTGTTAGATATTTGCAACTTTTTCTAGGGCTCAACAGGACAGAATTTGATAAGGACTTCTAGAGGAAAGCTCTACCTTTTTGAGCAGCCTTGATGTTTTCCTGTTTCCACTGGAAACCCCACACGTATTAGACCCCAAGTTCGGTTTTCACTATTTGTTGGTTGATCACCTCAGTGAATCATAGTTATTGGTGATCATGTGGTACATCCAGGACCCTGTAATTTCCCATTTAAGAGTCCAGAGGTACCTGTGAGCTGCACAAGTAAGATTTCTGGGAGTGGATAAGGAGTCACCTTGCACAAAAGAAGGAAAAACCCAAGTAGTTTAACATGTATAAACCTCATTATTGCAAACTCTGCTTTCCCATACTTTGGAAATGGGAAAATGAATAGCAGAAAAACTGGAATTTATTCTTTTGGCTAGAAGAAGTATTTTTTCTCTAAAGATGATTTTTTTTAGTTAGAGTCTTGATCTGTTTGTTTCTTAAAGCCAAGTTTATAAAACTCAGTTCTATAAAATGACTGTGTTCTTAAAATTTGAGCCACAGTTAATATAATTTTTTCTTTGAATGGATTACTCAGATATTATTCTGTATTGTATGAAGGCAGCTCAATGCTACAGCTCATTCACTTGTGCTTGTGTTTTTTGCTCACAAAACCCATAAACAATTGCTAAGTCTTCTGTGTGCAAAATCAGTCAACAGCACTCAAGGGGAAAAGAGTGTATGATTTGAAAGCTGTGGTATCAGATTTGATGAAGCTCAAAAAGATGTCACCTACCAAAAACGTCTTTGAAGCATTCTGGCCAGCAGCAGTGAATTGTGCTGTGTTAACAACACGCTGCCTGCAGGTTGAGGGAGGGGTTTCTTCTGCTCTGCTCAGCACTGGGGAGGCCAGAGCTGGAGTGCAGAGTGCCAGCGCTGGGCTTCCCAGGGAAAAGAGAAATGGATGTACTGGGCAGCATCTTGTGATGGGACACACAGATGATGATGCTGCATCTCTTCTGCAGCAAAAGGCTGAGAGTGAGCTTGGCCTGGAGGAGGTTCAGGGGGTGTCTCATCTATAGGGGTAGGTGTCTGCAGGGATGGTGCAAAGAAGACGGAGCCAGGCTCTTTTCTGTGGCGTCCCCAGGCAGGACACACTGAAACACAGGAGGCTCTGTGTGCACATCAGAAAACACTGCCACTGTGAGCAGGACCGAGCCCTGGCATTTGGAAACACAGGCTGTCCAGGGATGTTGTGGGGTCTCCATCCTTGCAGATATCAAAAGTCATCTGGCCATGGTGTTGGGAGACTGGCTGGAGATGGTCCTGCTTGAGCATGGGGATTGGATGAGATGATCTTCAGTGTCTCCTTACAACATCAACCACCCTGTTGATTTTGTGATTCTATGATTCTGTGATTTTATGATACAGTTTTTATGCAAAAAACATCCTCTTCTTTGAAGGAAATAGAGTAATCAAATTTGGGTTATGTGGAATACCTCCTTAAAAAATACAACTAAAGATAAATATTTGAAGGAAGGACATGAAAAGTTGTTGTCCTTATGCAGTAAATTTTTTGTGGGAATGTCTATAGAGAGATTACATCAAGTATTCCAGTCCAAACTTTCTGTGCCTTTCTTATGCTAAGAAATACAGCACGTTCCATTCCTCATGAAAATTATTTTCAATTTAAAATCTGTTTAAGTCATATATTGAATTTCCCTATTTGGGTACTTGGATAGGTAGCAAGTAGATGGAGAGGGAGTTGTTTTATTTTCATATTCTGATAGGTGCTTGAAAGCTGTGCTATTATCTGTATGTGGAAACAGATATCTTTTGGAAGCAGTTACAGATTATGGGAATGTTATTTCATGTTTATAAATTAGACTCCTAAGGGGAACACGTAAGAAGCAAATTTGCATGTCCATAGCTGACTGATGAGAAAAGCATAACTCTCTACTAAGTGCAGCTGTTGATACAGAATAAATGCAGTGCAAGGGATTTGAGAACCTGAGTAGAGAGAAATTGTAGATATCAGTCAGAAACTCTCTCTGTTTTAATTTAGCTGAACTACTCTAGTACACAACTGTAGCTAAAATTACCCTCAAGTAAGAGAATAGCAAAGAAATTCTAAAACTTGGATAACAATAGTCACAAGTTTATATAAGCCAAAAGAATTGCTGCAAGCACATAATGAATAAGCTGTGGTTTGTGAATTGAATTGGGAAAGCTGAACTCCAATAACTAGTGAAATTCTGCTGTTGTGAAAATCTGCTGGTCCTCCTCTTGCAGTGTTGATGATGGAGGTCCCCCCTTTTCCACTCTTCCATCCCAGGTACTGTCAACTGCCAGCTTCTCTTAGGAAAAGATATTTGCAGCACTTTGTTAGAGTGCTTGAATTACTGATGATTGTTTGTTTATAACATATCAATCAAAATCTAGTATTGTGATATTCAGAGTTTTGACTGACATCCTTCATGTATATAAGATGTTCAATTATGTCCAAGGGGAAAAAATAAAGGGAGGCCTTTAATTACTTCAGATCATTTTAGAAGATAGCTAAATGAAAATACCACATGAACAGCAGGAATGACTTTCTCAGCTGTCTAGTAGTGGAGCTGGCATGAGAAATTCAAATGCTGTTTGCCCCTCTTACTGCAATACCTCTGCCAGGCTTTTCTTTTGCATGAAAACAAAGTTCTGTAGGAGGCAAGAAGGCTTCTACATCATAACACTATAGCTACGGTACCTTATTTTAAAAAAAATGTTTAAAAGCTTGTCTCTATCCAAATTTCAAGAGTTAGAGAATTTTAAACTAGCATTCAAGGTACACCAAAAGTGATGACCAGGGCCTGTCATTCATAGCAAGAATATGCCAGCCCAGACATTGCAGAGTGTGGGGGGATAGAATGTAAGAAAATAAAGATAGTGCAGAAGGTAATCTCACCTCTGAGGAGCTGCAGCTGTACCAATCACCAAAGATTAGGAACAGGCCTGCCCTTAACAGGCCACAGCTGTGTCCAGTGAGGATGAGTGCTATAAAAGAGTGGGTTAGCTGAGTGAGGAAAGCATTGGAGTTTGTATTGTGAAGAAGAAGAAGGTGGAGTCAGTGCTATGAGGAGCTGACTGTGAGAAATCACCAAGAAGGTATGGAGCTTTTGCCATAAGATGGCAACAGGAGAGAGCTATTTAGGGCCTACTGATGTCTTATAAATGTGTTTGGAAGATAGACTATTTAAAAACCAATTATGTGAGTACTTTTCATACAAATATGTATATCTCATGGTCTGCTTCTAATTAGAAGGGACACTTGTATAGAAAGAGGTCTTTTGAGGCAGGGGGATTAAAAGTTAAAGGGTGCTTGATTAAGAGTATCTGTTTAGATGGTTACGTTGCTTAACATTTGCTGTGCTTGTAAAGACAAGATACTTATGGAAACAGTGTGAGAGAATGGAACAAACAGAGGGTTAAGTTCTTTGGGAGGTGCATGTCTTTGGAAGAGCTAGCCCACTCAGAGCTGAATAAATACGTATCTAATTTACAACTTTTACCAGTTTTAGAGTTTTTCCATGTATCACTTTGTTCATCAGCTTTTGCTCTTCATATTTCCGTAACCATCCACAAACTTTGCATGTGTTTTATGTCAAGATGAGGCTTAAATACAAAAGAAGGCAGGGATTGGAAAATGTCTAAAAGTATGTATGCACGATATTTCCTGGGGTGGTGAGTGTCCCAAGCTACTGAAAATGATATTCTTGCTTGATAGAAGGCCTGCAGTCTTCAAGGAGGTGTTGGCCCTCAGTTTAATTGTCTCACAAAAAGAAATGTTTTCATTTAACAATCTGCATCTATTTTCACCATCAGTCTAGTGCCTCAAGCTATCATCTTTCCTGTCTTTGCTTCTTTCTCTCTTTAATAATAAATGTAATATAATTCTAATTTCCTTTACAAAATGTAGAAGATATTCTTGCAACCCTAAGAGTGCATGGGTGGCCAAAAAATGCCACAGAAAATGCTTCATTTAATAAAGGGCTTGGAAGAAAGCTGGTTTGATTACACAGCAAATCAGCATAAAAGAGGAAAACCCTTTCTCCAGAGGAAATAGATATATGCATAGATGAGATAGTATTCCTGCAAGGAGTATTTTATGTATTTCACAGGAAGCCACTATATTGTCTAATATTTTTATTTCAGGCTTTACACTTTGTTTTATGAAGCACATTGAATCATTATTCCTTGGGGGAAAGTTTGCTTTAGTTCCTCTTTCATGGCAATTCAATGAAATCACTTTGAGCAAAAGGTGAACATTTGTTAGCAGTGCAGAAGAACTTCTGTGGCACTTCTCTATGATGGCATTTACACCTCCCAAATCCTTCTTGTTACACTGGTTGCTGGCACGTAAAATGAAGCTCCACCTGCTGCAGCTGGATTCATGTCTAACTTTCTGGAACATACTGAATTTCCAGAAATGTGACTGACAAATGAAGCACAAACTATGTTCTATTACTCATCCTGCACTATAATGGGAGTATTTAAAGTTCTTTCTTGGCCCATGTCTGCTTGAATCACTCAGATGAATAAATGGCTTTGTCAAGACATACCTGGCTGAGAAAGGCAGCAGTAATGTAGACAACATGAACACAGGAACAGATGCTGCCCCTTATGACCACAACCACTTATGAATTCTGTAAGTTGTATTACTAGGGTGCTACTTATAAATAAATGTAAAATGGCTATGCTTTTAACCTAAGCAGAATCCCAACCTAGCTGTGGTCAATTACCTAGAGATGGCTGCTTATAGGAGGGCTGAAGTTTTTACTTCAGCCATAGTTAGGCAAAGATGTGTAGACGCAAGAGAAAACAGATAAAGTTTGGTGTGAAGATGTTCTTGGAACTTAAGGACAGAGATGTGTGAGATAGAAACTGTCAAATTGCTTTTGGAGGAAGCAGTCTGTATGGGTTTGGGAGGTTAGTGTCTAGGGAACTGCAGAAGGGTCAATGCAGTAATTGAAATGGGAGCTGATTGAGAGGGCCCTGAGCATTTCTGTTTTGATATGGTGGAAAACAAGCAGAACTTCATCAGGAAAACAAAAGAATAAGGTTAGGAAATGGATGGATTTATGGCAGAATGAGAGAAGTGTTTGGTCAGGAATGAGGTGATAGTGTCATCACAGTGGAAATGTTGTCTACAGGATGCCAACAGGTGGAAAAACAGACATTGGTTTCATGGCCATTCAGAGATTTTTGGAGGCAGGCTGGCGTGTTGATTCAAGTCCAAGAGAAGGAGCTCCAGGTTAAACTAGCTGATTTGAGTGCTCAACAGTGGAGTATAGAAAATTATATTAGAGAACATGGAAATACACTTGTGTGTCTGTTTGCTGTGTTACAAACAACCTGGGAGAATGACCTAAGTCCTTAAAGCACCAAAGCCCTGACCTGCCCCTTGCAAAGAGCTTGTGTAAAACTGGAGTTTCATTTCACCTGTGCAGGGCATGGTTAGGGAGTCCTTTGCTTGTTGAAGAATACAATATACTATCATATTTTGATCAAAACAAATACATTTTATATTTCTGGAACAGGTCAAATCCTTTGCAGATTAGCCAAAAAAAAAAAAAAATAAAGGCTGTGCAATGCTAATCTGTTTTACAAAAAGTGTTTACAGTCTCAAGAAAGTAAGAAAAGAACATCCTGTTTTACAACACCTTCCAAGTACACTCCTGGTAACAGACTGTGAGTTCAGACAACGTATTATTATTGAAAGAGGTGATGACATTAGCTTATTCAATATTAAAAGCTAACTGAAATTAAATATCACTTTCATTCTTTATTGGTTTCACTTGTATTCATCTTTCAATTAAAAAGATGCATATGAAAATGCACAAGATGTTCTCTATGCTCCTACACTTTTATGATACTGTAGGTATATGCCTAGATGTGTGGATCTGAAACTGAATTTGACCTTATTTAAAATAAAGCAGAGAACTTCAAATTGTGACTTACTGTGTCTCTCAAACAGCTAACTAGCTCCAAGTACTGGCATAGGCGCCACATGTTTACATTTATACACAAAAAGCAGTGGGAAATTTTTAGAATTTATAGCACTCCTACAAAACACTTTAATTTTGGTGAACTTGGCTTGTTTTGAATATAAAAAGGATTCCTCAGAAACCACTAAACCTATTTTGGACAGCTCTGTTTAGATTCCTGTGTGCATTATCAAAGGACTCAGTTCATCTGGAGTGTGGCACTGCATTGTGCCCACAAAAAAGCAAAGAGCTGATCATAAATACCTGGGCATAAATCAAGGCAGTGGTAACAAATAAACAAGTCTCCCATCTACCTGCCATGTGACCTGTGTTCACACTTGCAGGGCTGAGGATTGTCCTTGACCCAAGCAGACACAGGACACGACCACTACAGTGTGAGATGTTCATTAGGATCCAGTGCATTGTGAGCTAGGGAGATGCATAAAACCCTGCTGCCCTTCTGACGGGACCAGCACTGTGCCCAGAAGGATTCCCCTCACAAAGATACTGCACTCTGCAGTATTAGAGCTGGCTGTCTTCTGCACTGATCTTCACACACCCTGGGAGCTCAAATTCTGAAGGGTATAAAGCAATTAAAAGGTTCTGTCTGCTCGTTAAGGAATGAGAGGAAGGAAATTCATCAGGTTACAAAGAGCCCCAAAAAAGACACACATCTGCTCATGTCATCATCAGCTCATGGGAGGAGCAGCTGGAGGATTCCTGGCTCATAGTTTGGATTACTAACACAGGGGGATTGGCCCATGGGAATTCATGGAATAGAAAGCTTGAAGAGAAGCCTGCATTACTATAGGGAAAAGTCTAATTGTATGTATGTTCATCATTTTTGCAATCATGCAAATAGCTGATAAAACAAGAAGAGGCCTCATGGATGCTTCTTGAGTAACTCAAAGAGGTCAATGGAGTTAGATCAGGAGTCAGTTTAGCCCAGAATATTACCATCTGGTGATCAAAAAGTGTATGGTCTTCAAATGAACTTAGAATAATGGCATTTATGGGGAAAAAAGGGACATGCACTATATGGATTTATAATGATGTTATAATTAGGAAGGAATTATAATTGAGGACCAAAGATAATCTAATCTACATTATTGTAATGTGAGTTATAATTGACATAAAGACACAAAACAGGGGCACGTAATGTGCATTCTGCAGACTATTTTCAAAATAGAATGTGCTACAAATTAACAACTGTTAAGTGTAGGTGTCCCAAACTTAGAAAGGCTTAGGAATGCTGTTCAAGTTCTTCTCTTAAGAATCAGAGAATAGTTAGGACTGTTCTATGGACCTCTGGAGATCATCCAGCCCAGCCCCCTGCTAAGGCAGGGTCACCTGGAGCAGGTGACACAGGTGGGTCAGGTGGGCTTTGAATGTCTCCAGAGAGGCTCCATGACCTCCTGGGCAGCTGTTCCAGTGCTCTGCCACCCTCAGTGTAGAGAAGTTCTTCCTCACATTGATGTGGAACTTCTTGTGCTTTAGTTTGTGACCATTACTTTTTGAAGTATGCAAAAATGTTCTGGTTTGTTGAAATTAAAACCTTTACAAATATGCATCTGCTACGAAAAAATTTTATAGTTTGAGAATAGAATTTCCTCTGAAAATAGCTGATATCCTGATAATATCCAGTAGTTGTTTATCAGAGATTTGTTTATCAGTGCAGGTTTATCAGAGACCTACATCCAATATTCCATGCTTGCATTGAAATTTCGTTTCTTTTTCCACTGCTGTTAATGAAAACTCTACTTTTCATATTTATGAGGAAAAATAATTCTGATGCCCTGTCATTTTCACAAAATAAAGAACTTTTGTATTTCTACACAAACTTAAAATACTTGGAAGCAACATTAATTTGTTACTAGCAAAGCATGAACAACACAGAAGGAGAGGCAATTAGTAGCTGCA